TACTTATTCTCTTATAGGTATTGGCTTTTAAAACTGAATAATCCCTTTGGATCCACCCTCTCGCTCAGAAGTCGAACTTGAGATCGGACTTTTGAAGTTAAATAAAGCCGCGGGACCGGATGACATTCCTCCAGCCCTCTTCAAATTCGGGGGACCTGCTCTTGTGGATGATTTGCACGAGTTACTGGTCAAAATGTGGAAGTAGGGAACTGTCCCAAGCGATTGGAGCCGCTCCGTCATAGTTCCAATTTTAAAAGGAGGCTCAAGATCGGAATGTGGCAGCCATAGAGGAATCAGTCTAAACTCCATCGCCTCCAAATTGTTTGACTCTGTCGTCCCTCACAGACTGACTGGCACGCGTGAAAGCTAGGTTCGTGAAGAGCAAGCGAGATTTCGTCGAGGTCGTGCCGGGATTGACCACATTTTCACCTTGCGCCAGTAGTTAGAGCACCGTCACATATATTGGCGGCCCACTGTTGTCGTGTTCCTCGATATCAAAGGTGCATTCGCTTCGTTGAGTATACAGGCACTTTGGGACTGTCTACTCAGGAAGGGTGTACCTGAAATTATGTGAATATTATCCGAGCATTATACGCGCGTAGCTCGGGCAGAGTGAGGGCTTACGGCAAGTTATCGTCGCCCTTTAATATCTTCAGCAGCGTGAGACAAGGATGCCCGCTCCCACCTTACCTCTTCAACTTTGCTTTTGACAAGGACATGGAAATCGCGTTCACAGGACATGACTTAGGTGTGGATCTGCTCCCAGGAGAAGACTTCTTGACTTAGCGTATGCTGATGTTACTGCTCTAATCTTTGACATCTCACAAATGTGTCCAGCGGCACTGGACAGATAAGCACTAGCTGTCCGTCACTTTGGGCTTTCGCTTCGCACGCTCGAAGTGCAAAGCGTTCCTCTACGTTTGGTCTGGACCCCCTCCTCCTCTGACTGTTGATTGGGCTCAGCTAGAAGTCGTTCAAAAATTCAACCATCTGGGAAGTTGTATGAGCGCCAGTGGGATTGTGGATGAGATCACGAACCGTATAACAAAAGCTCGGGGCGCTTTTGCTAACCTTCGCCACTTTCGGCGCCGGCGCAACAGCACACTTGCGCTGTGCAATGCAGCGGTACGTTCGACCCTACTGTACGGCTGTGAAACCTTGCCGCTTAAAGCAGCCGACCTAAAGAGCCTAGTTAATTTCGACCATCGGTGCCTTCGTAATTTAGCTCACATCTGGTGGGAACACCGCGTGAGCAACGAGTGTGTTCGACGCCTTGTTTAAGGCACAGGAAAAGGAAATGAACCACTCAGCACCGTCATTTCACGCACCAGGCTCCGATGGCTCGGCCACGTGTTACGCCTGCCAGCCCACCGACTCCCGCGACGTGTGTTGCTTGCGCGTCGCGGGTGTGGATAGAAGAAGAGGAAGGGTGGCCAAGCGATGACTTGGTCCAAAGGAAAGAATGCCCTCACTTCTGAGCCGGCTTCGGTTAGAGCGTCTCGGGTCCCTGGTTGGGGTCCGAAAGACGATGAACACGTTTGGTTGGACACACTTGCTGATATGGCTCGGAGCCGACCTCAGTGGCGTTCGTGCTGTGAGTTTCTATGTCCCACCCCATCCCGCTCAGCCGCCCCTCCAACCACGATCTCATTATTTAGCGTTATATATTTTAGCATAGTATATTTTGGTGCACAGTAGCTGGCTGGTAGCTTACCGCAACGATGCCCATCCGTTGCCGGTAGCTCAGCCGGCTTGCAACAGTTGTATTTTTTCTCTTTGTTGCTGCGTATTGCCGCAGAATAGCTGAGGTGTGCCGCACCTCTAGCTAACGTGTATGGTGGTGATGATAATTTTTAATTACGTTTATTTTTATTTTTCAAAGTAACTTCTCAAGTAAAGACACAACTGTATTGGTCGCCAGTTTTTAGATGGTGCTGGCATATCAAAAGTTAAATTAGATGTCCTAACCCCCCGAACGCTTGCGCAGATGGAAATTTTGTTGAAAGAAGTTGTTAAAAGAGCAGAAGTTGCAACCAAGATTGGCGTCAGCCTAGCGTCTGTATACCGACTTCGAAAGCAATTGCAAAAGAATTAACGCCTGTCCCATGTACGTTCCGGTAAATGTGGTCGCAGAAGCGAAACAACAGCTCCAGACGACTCGGTTCTGGTAAGGTAATGTCTAAAGAATCGCAAAGCTTCTAGCAGACAGCCACAAGGGATGTTGGAACAGTTTGTTCGAGAACTGTAAGAAGACGACTTATGGATTCTGGACTTCTAGCTTGCGGACCAACGAAGAAGCAAAAGTTGACCAAACAAATGAAAGAAAAACGACAGGGATGGGCCAAACAGTCTCAAAAATTGTTCAAAGAAGACTGGGAGTGGGTAAGAAGCGGAAGTTTTATTTTCCTAAGTATTTTCTAGAAAAATTGTGTCTACGTTACTTTGGCTGTGTTTTCTGAATTTTTCTGTGTTACATTTTAGGTGGCTTACATCGATGGGTACATCATCCGGTGCTCTGACCATCAGTCTCTATATGTTCGCCGATTACCTAGTGAACAGATTAGGGAACACTGCATGATTCGACGAGTCACACTCCACCTCAGTCCATGATATGGAGCTGTTTGTGCATCTACGGAACTGGTCGGCTTTCCATCGTCCAAGGGAACATGAACCAGCAGCCATACATATAACTAATGGAGCAACAGCTGATCCCTCAGTTGTGTGAATAGTCAAAGGAAAAAGGTTTTACAAGGACAGAAGACTTCATTTTCATGTTTGACAATGCTCCATGTCACAAGGGGCGTGAAGTCACCTGTTTGCTTGAGGGTTGTGGTATAGAAGTGTTACCATGGTCTGGTAATTTCCCTGACATGAACCCAATAGATAATTTACGGGCAATTGTAGCGACCCTGGCTCACAGCGAAGTCTTGACTGAAATTTGCAACAGACTCACTCAGTTCATGCCTATGCGTGATAACGAATTAAAATTGCTGAAGAAGCATATAAGAAAAGCTAACCATGCTAATTTTCTATTTGTTACATATTATTCTTGGTACATATAACCAGTTTACTGCTATATCATTTGATTCATTCGAGATATGTGAAAAAATATGAAAAAGATTGCTGCTTCGAATAATTTCTAATAATTTGGCCAATACCGCAATTATTCTACACAAGCATTTAATTTAAGCAACGCAGATAAATGTCTCTAATTGTACTATGTTGTTCGTAATTACAGGTATTAGATTGAAATGAATCTGTATGAAACGAAGTGTTATACCTTGTAGCTACATATCAGAATGAGGCCGTCTCATCACTCTTCGAGAGAAAGTATTTGTACTGTTTTCGTTTCACTTTCACAAGTATGCACAATGGATAATTGTATTCATAAGTAAATTGAACCTCTGCTTCGTAGTAATATAAAATGCTGCTACATTTGTTATCAAAAATCAAAACCGTTATTCGCCTTTACCTGCAGCGAAGGATGCCAATAAATAAGAGCCAACCTACACTACATATACGATATTTTCGCATCATTGGAGTCAGTTACACATACCGTGAAAATCGGTCTTGCATTTTAGAAAATAATTGGATCTTACCAATTTCGAGGCAAATTAAAATTGAATAATTTCCCTGTCAAATTTAGTAGTCAAGCTCGCGCAAGTCGTCAAATGCAATTATCTGTGATCCTCACCGCACACGCATAACCGTATACAACCCGGGTCATCTTTCATAATCAATTTGCATCACTTTTATTCACCGATATTATTAGAATATGCCACAAGGATTCAGCTCATTGTGTTGAAAAACAACTGTTTGTACAGTTTTGATAGTGCAGATGACGCGTGAACACACCGTTGTCTGAATCGCTTGTTGTTGGGTCATATATGAAGCATAAAGGTTCTTAGGGCAATCATCTTAAGATCCTTATGGCTTTTCAACACGTTATGAGGATCAAAAGGATCAAGTAATCTGCAAACAATTAATGTCATACTAACTGCAAACGGAACTTCGCGGACGTCGTTTCGCGTTCTATTTGGTATGTCAGATTTTGTCGTTCATTACTTGGTGCAGAGCAGATTTTCCTATACGGTTCTCTGCCGTGTATAGTAGTGCATGCTTTTAGCCGCTTGGTCGATTGATGGACGTGCCCGATGACCATCAATCACTTGCCATTCCGCCGTCCTCGTCGACAGAAGGCAAGACGCCACAAAGGCGTTCTGCGGGACAACTGCGACGTAAGATCAGCAGCGCTACTAAAACCACTTACTCGAGACGAGTTCATTCCACTAAAGTAGTGCACACCAAACGTCTTTCTCGTGGAAGCGCTCGCGCTCGCGGAGTCACATCAAAGGTCAAAAGGAACGACCGTCGCACGAACAAGCACCCCCTCCACGCCGTACTCCGAAAGCACAGCGTCAGTCAATACGGACTCGCCCTTTTCCGATTTCCGAAGCTCGTTCCATTCGTCGAGTGCGATCCGAATACAAACGCAACGCTTCTCCCTGTAGTGGACCGGATGCAAACCGATTCTGTTCAGCAGAGCGAATCCGTTGTCACGCGGATGCTTTGCAATCGGATGTCTGTATCACCGCGGCTGCTGCTTCCGTGACACCGTCCATTCCCAGCCAACGACTACCCAGTAATCGTGGTCATAAACCGAGCTACGCGCGGCGTCCCTACAAACCGCGATCAGCGGCTAGCCGTCGACAGGCTTCCTCTTTCAGGGCTAGATATAAATCAAATCGATCCAAGTTGAAGGCGTACAGGCATTTGAAACGCTCACCTTCCGTGGATTTGACGAACAAAGAAAGTCAGGAAGTGTTTATTAAACATTTTGCAATTCCCACGCATCTATATCGATATCTGGCCGCTCGTCACCGTCAGCAACCTCTCTATCTCGATCGCACCCTGAGTTACCTGCGTGCTCCATCCACCTTCTCCACTGGCTCTGTCCCCAATGGAACGACCTACTGCCCCTCCCGCCCATCAGTAGACGCCATCGCAAACCGTCTTTGGCAAGAGAAGCGTCTTTCATCTACAAACCATATGTCGGACAAGTGTTCCAAGATGGTGAATTGTGTGACGACGGATGACCGTTTGGATCCGTCGAATGAGCTATGCTCATTCTCTACATCTGTTTGGCCTCATGAAGTGCAGCTTGTTTTTGAAGGCTTTTTTGACAGTGAAAAGGAGCTCAATTGGGTCACTGTAGAGGCCTCCCTAATCCCTTCTTTCCGCTTCGCTTGGGCCTGGCGCCACAAGGCAGCCTCCGCTGATACTTGGTCAGTCCGTTCCGTGAACCGTTTCCACTTGCGTGCCATAATCCCACAACTGGGTTGAACCATTTGCCTCTGCCTGCGTCTGTGGACTCGTGTCGCTTTCAACCAAGTGAAGTGATCAAGCAAGCCAAATGGGCCACTTCTGGTGGCCGCTTGAGTGCGGGCCAGCTGGAATTGCGCATCCATGCCATTGAACGTCGTTGGCTCAAGCGGCCGGATCTGAACCGCACCAACTCAACCGCCTCTCTTGGTTCGGGCTGCTACGGATGCAACGGTCTACAGACCAACACCGTTTCCAATCACCGACTCAGCGGTGATCCACAGTGCAATCGAAAGGGCGGTCTCGGTTCCTCCGCTTATCCTGTACACTACACGACCGCTCCGTTGCCACTTTTCTAGTCTGCCGTCGCTTCAGGCTCGCAGGATGACCATCGTCCGTTCCTACTCACCCCCGGTATGTACGAACTCCGGCTTGGAGTTGATCACAATGCGGGCAACCATCTCCCCGTCAAGCCCACACCAACACCGGAGACCCCGACCGTATGCAAACAGAACGGCATGTTAGAGAACGGCGATTACGACCATCAGCATAACCACCACCACCACCATCCTAGCGAAACCGGGAGCACAGCGGACAGTGTGGCTACCAGCTCTTCCGATTGTCCTACCGGCACCGTGAGCTCCGCCGGTGAAGTAACCAGCATGTCCGAGGCCGGATCGGTCTGCGGACGTGTGGAATGGCGCCGAATGCGATTGCCCAAAGAGTCCGAGACCTCGGACGAATACACACGGTGGCCAAAACTGCGATTTCGTATCCTTTGGCGCGGTAAGACCGCATGCCATTCGCCCACCTAGCATCGGGACCAGGTGAACGGAGCACTCGCGGCGGACGCACGTAGTCCGCCATATAAAGCACTCTCCCATACTCCTAACAACATCTCTCCGCGCAAGCTTCCTAGGACCACCAGTTTGACCAGGGCGTCAGCGACACCAAACGAGAATGGTAAACCACGACGTTCCGCAGTTAAATCCCCCTGCAAGCCGGACCCATTCAGTGAGATCGTCCCGAACACTCCGGACACTCCGCGATCTAAAGCAACTACTCGGCCTCGCAAGCCATCCACGCGGCCCTATCTTCTCGACCGTGCTGTGCTTCCCGACCGCCCTGTCACCTATGGGTTTTTCTATTTGGGGCGACTTCAACAGTGGTCCGAATCCAACGACTTTCGCTGTCCATGGTGTCGTCTGGACTGCTGGCGCGCACGCGAAAGAGCTCCGGAGGCGTTGTTCATTCATCTTCGAACGTGTCATCCACGGTTTCGTTTCAAGGCATCTTGGAGTTCGTCTCGATCACACCTGACTCTTGAGGTCTCTCTGAATGAAGCGTACGATGGGTCGAATGATTGCGGTCTGCGACGTTGGAGCTACGAGCTAACAAACAATCTGAACGGTCGATGGAGCGTCCCCCGTGGCCAGCTCATTGGTGGGTGGACGGGGCTGGGCCTGTTCGGAGGCGGCGAACAATCAAACAAGTCACTCAGTCTCGCCGGTTCTTCGGCTCGTGTCCCTTGCCCCGTTCGGAGGCTTCCGTACACGCACCTCATCTTTTGGCGAGGCGCCGAACGAGTAAACGACCAGCCTTTTGATCCGACTTTATCAGTCCGGCCGATCGCAACGGGCCACAATCGTGTCTACTATCACACACGTACAATGCAGCCCATTCGTGCTTGTGAATTTGACGTGGACTCCGAAGCAGAAGACTCGCCTGTCTGGTTGTGGCAGCATTACCAGCGCAAGTTGGAAGAATTCACTGATGTAAACCAGGGTGAAAAGCAAATTATGCAATTGTGGAACTCGTTGCTCCTCTCACTAGGACCCTCGGAGCTGATCACTTGTGATTCACAGTTAGCCAACGTGGCCTCATGTTTTGTGCATCGTTTCGCGTCGCAGATCTACCGCCGGCACTTGCGGACCAACATGATACTTCGGTCGCGGTCGTGGTCGCTTTGGCGATGATTATGGCTACAGTGAATACGATCGTGGTGGACGTGGTAGACCGTTCATGGGGCGCAGCAGATCCCCGCGTGCTCGTGGTTTTCGTGGCAGCAGTTTTGGATACGAAGGACGTGGTGGCCCTCGCAATTCTTACCGTGGAAGACGCGATGAGATGGACGATGACAGAAGGAATGGTCATGAAACGCACGCGGAATGAATGCTGCACTCAGCTACTCAACGGTCGCGCGCACTTGAATGATGGTGAACTTGCTGTGCTCCCGTGAATTTTTTGTCCTTCGATACTGAACATTTTATTGTGTATTAGTTTCGTATCCGTATATTTCATGCTTGTATTCGTATCGTGTACTTATTGTTCCCGTTATCGCCTTAACCTTTGCATCCGCTAAGATATCAGTATTGACGAAGCTGGTTCCCTCTGGCACTTGTTGAAACATAGTCTGGCTTGGGAATTATGCCGTTACATGCCTCAAGTGAAGTGTGAATTTCTTCATTTATTCTATTGGTTTTTCTTTCGATCATTTTACACTACTACGTGAAACCCAGCATGACTGCGTGCAAATATTGTGCCAGAAATGCTAAGGTAATTTATAGTCACAAAAAGACCGGAAACAATGCATTCTTCAAGACGAGCGGAACGTTCCATAGCGAGATCCTCCTTGGATATATATGAGCAAGCGCAAACTCAGCCACTTCCATATTTGAGCGAGCCCACCAGCCCACCGGCTGCAGGCTCACCAGAGCAAGGACCACCCGTTGCTAGAGCTTCAGCTGGCACAATTACGCAATAATAAACAGCCAAAATGCCGTTCAAGCATAAAAGACGAGCGAGAGGTTCCATAGTTAGGAGCTCAGTGGGTCCACTACGCAAGCGAAACTCCAGGCTCCACTATGTGTGAACCAGTTTATCTTCACATCGGCTGCAGGCTCTACAGCATGAGATCCACCAGTTAATGGAAACTCAGCTTGTTGCTTCCTACAGTCACTAAAATACCGGTGTGCAGTAACGCAGGACTTGGAAGCCAGTTGTGAACGCAGCAAAGCAAAAATGTGAAAACTGCCAGTAATCAGCAAAACTTCAATCGTTTAAGCGTTCACTCGTCTGCATAGCTAAATGCTAGTCAGTATGCTCTTAGATATTCTGCAAAGCATTGTTGCTAGACTTCTCGACGTAAATAAGAAAGGGTTGCGTGTTAAGATCACCCGCGTTAGAAGGATATAGATGGTGAAATCGCGGCTTTCGTGTGTCACCTTTATTGATGCAACGAGGCTAAGGCTGATACTATCCTGCCTAAGTAGGATAAGATGTCTAATAATCTATATTCTTTCCCATTTGGACTTAACTGACAGCGAACAATTTTAGTCTGCTATGGTGGAATTGAAGAGCTTACTGATACTGACGAAACCCATTTTTATCCAATCATTTTCGTGTAGTTTCCCAGGACCAACGAACACGGATCAACAGATCGATGACGATCCATGCGCGTCTGGCGGTTACTACAAGAACTTACGAGTAGCCTTTACAACTGTGAGGTTTAATGAACAATTTTGAAGAGTTATTGTATTTCATTGCCTCATATCATCTGGGGGTACAAGGACTAGACCTTACCTGGTAAAAGCCTGAGGTCAGTAGCCAGAAAGTTCAGATCATTGACTGCCAGTGCTTCCGGTGCTACCTACTCCCAAACGATCGAGGTACGGTGTTGTTACACAATGTGAATTATTAAGCCATGACCTAGCTAGGAGCGGCTGCACGCAGTTGCTGACACACATTGGTACGCTGAATTGCCGACTGTCCAAGGGGGCAGATTGCTTGGCCGGCATGTGTAGGACGGGCACACAGGCGCGAAATGTGTTTTTACTATCACAAGGTTCATGGAGCAGTTCGGCAGTAAGCAGTGAATGTTATTAAACACCGCGGACGCATAAGACCTGTGACGCCTGAATCGCCAAGCAAGGCCAAGGGAACGGGAAAAGCTCGGCCGTGAGAAGTGAACGTTAGTTAGACACCATATCCGCAATGATGGCGTCATGCGTCAACCGCAGGGTAAGAAACACGGAGCGCAGTGCGTTACGTGAGAACTGTACGTGAGCCAGACACTATGAATTGTTTTAAATTGCCCACTGTCCTTCAGGCTACATAGGAGCATTCACCGGATAGGTTTAGCCAGTTCTATGTGAAAAGCCACCAAATGTCTGTCTTCATTCGTCTACCATGTAATCTTTTAGGCCATCTAGTAATGTGTGTTCCTTACTATTAACCTTGCGTTTAAATACACCCATAGCACAGATTAATGGGGTTCAAATCCAGTGATCGCGCAGGCTATTCTATTAGTCGTCCGCGGCTGACCAAACGTCTAGCGAGTGTCTCGTTCAGGTAGGCAAGAACCCATTTCGCGGAAGTGAAGCTGCACCATCCTGCTGCTACCAAATTTTATTCATTAACTCTTGCAACTATAGATGCTCAATGACGCTTCTCTAAAACATTTTCATGCATGAGGATGCTGAGTAATGCCAGACATGGCTATATTTACAGGCTGAAATCTACAAGAGTTATCATGTCAAGTCAAGTCACCAATTAATTTGCATGCACCCTAGAATGCGGATGTTTTAGCTGTAACACAAGCGCACTCGAAACGGTTAAGCAAACAACGCTATAACATACAATGTGCTGCCGGCATTATGATTTCTTTCAGTATCCAATGTAGCCTAACGCAAGCTTATGGACTTGCTGGAGGCTTGTCCTTTTCTAGTGATATCAATGCGCTGAAATACGACTGGTTATCTCATACGGTAAGGTTGCTTCTCACAATTGCTAGCACAGCAACCCACTAAATAATTTGCAAAGAAACCCTACTGCTGGATATTTCACCCGCGTGAAGGCCGACTCTGAATCGACCGAAGAATGACACTTTCAGGGCATATGCGGTGTCTGGCTTAGGTAGAGTTCTCACATCCGAACAGACTGGGCTTCTTTGGATTTGAACTGCCGTCGAGGCATGACGCAATCAATGCAGATATGGCGTCTTGCTAACGTTCACTTTCGCAGCTGAGTGACATGCGTGCCTTTGGTCTTGTCCTTCGATCCACGCAGAAGAAGTCGATTACGGCTAATGTGTTTGCTAATGTTTACTTCGCGTTGCGGAACGGCTTGGTAAGCCCTATCTCAATCCTGCCGGCCATGTAATTTGCGCCCTTGGACAGTTAGCAATTTTGCGTATCGAAGGGAGGGGCGTCAGCACTTGGGTGCGACTTCTCCTAGCTTCCGACATATTTAATAAAGCACCCTGTACACTCGGTACTTGCTGTGCGGGAGAATGGTAGACAATTTCTGTGACGGAGTGGACTTGTGCGAATAGGTAAGCTGATTAATCCACCTAAGAAAGGGTGAATTAATTGGGGGTACAACTTATGGCAGCCCGGAAATTCGATGATTTGATTGGTTGCCGCATGCCACTATCTACAATTGTCTGCCCCGCTTCCTGCGCAAGGGTGATTTTTACTTACCTTGAATTTTGTAGCCTTAGTTTCAACTTCTCCCCGGGCAATAAGAATTCGAGGCGCAGTTTGCAGAAATGGTATTTAAAACTTGGCAGCACAACATATCTGCCAACCAACGCCCGTTACACCGTATTTCGCTCTATCGTGCCTGGTGCTACTACGACTAATAAGTTATGAGCAACGTGTGCATGAAATTCCGGTCCTGGAGCCAATGGCAGTTCGTGGTCAGTCGAGGGTGTTAAGCAACCTAAGGCTTTCGTTGCCCTACACGCGTCTGCATCAGCCATCCTTCAAGTATTAGAAGATCGACATTAATGGTCTTAATCGAACCGCCAGAGAAGTAGACCTGGTAGTTGGCGCAAGATTCACATTTTAAAACCTGTTTGTCTGCTATAAATGTAGGTGTGCAATCATTGTTTGCTCCTTTCTTAACACTCAAGTGTCGAAAGCTGTACCATTGATGTTATATTGTTGCTACAGTTAGCATACCCATTTTTCTCAATGGCGACGCATGTTGTGAAGTATATTCTTCGTTTCTAGATCCGCTGACGATTAGGTGGCGAACAAAATGCTAGTGGCATCTATGCAACGGTGTGCACAAGTGGAAAGCATCGCTCTTTGGAATAGGAGCATGAAAACGTCGCAACAATGAACCCCGAATGATGTTTGCCTACGTGAAGCGGCGACTAAGGCCCACAAGTGAGTTAGCTGTGTTAGAGTGCACCGAAGGACAGCCTCTGACATACAGCACTGAACGTGCGTCCGCATTGGTGAAACACTATTATTCCGTACATACAAGTGTGTATGCGCCTAGGCTACGCTCGACTTGTGCACACCCTACTTAACTATTGGGCATTAGTTGCGCTTTAAATAGCTGCAGTCTACACGCCAGCTTTGATAGCACAAAACCTGCAGAACCCGAAGGACTTCACCGGCCAATTTTTAAGTCCGTATCCGTCATCATCCAGCCTGCCGTGACGGAGCTGTTCAAAAGATCATTGTCCAAGTGTGTATTTAAGAAGCGACTGAAAAGGCTCTTTATTAAAGCCAATTCCAAAATGTGGTGACGAATGCAATGTGGACAATTACCCGCCGATTTGTCTTAACTCTGGTTTGGCAAAAGTGCTCTAAAGGATTGTGAAGTAATGGTCTTCTTTAGCTACTGAATTCAAAAGCACGGTTTCATTAAAGGTCGCTCATTCATTCCTAACTTGAATTTGGCGCGGCAGGAATGGTTGCAACCTTTGCATCTATGGAAGTCAGTAGCAGTTACATGCATTAATATTACTAAAACTTACGATAAAGTGAATCAGAAGGTCCTGCTGCCCAAGCTGAGGATTTGTTGTGTTGGAGGCGCGCTGCACCGGTGGATCAGTGACTTCCTAATTAAGCGAAGATTACTAGTGTAGGTGGATGACCACCTAACGGAATGGTACCCGTCCACTAGCGGCTATCACAAATAACATTACTTAGACCCATTCCATTCCTGGTCCACATCAACGAAGTACTTCAGCTTCTTCGGTCGCCTTGTGCATTATTTGCTGATGACCTGAGGATGTGGAGTGTTATTTATTCTCCCGGCGAATGTGCCGTCCTTCAGCCGGGCCTAGACCAGCTATCCCTGGGTTCTGCAAAAATCCTCCTACCGGTCAACTCGGTCAAATTCTCGTTTAGGAGTCTAGAGAGGGATAGTAATGGGCTTATGTAAACCCTGGTCGGCCACCCGCTGCCTCCCACCAGTTCCATAAAATACTTAGTCCTTCCC